GTAAGGACAAAATTATTTCTAGGTCTAGAAAGCGGCGAAGGGCAAGAAACTTTGTACCGTAAGTAATGACGAGCTGTCCCGTTGACTTATCGTTATGTATGTATGTATGTTCCGAGAGTCGTTTGCTAGATAACATACGAAGGCAGGAATCAAGTGTCTCATCAATTCAAGGTGACGCTATGCGGAGGATTCGCAGTAGAGTTCACAGAACGCAATAATTTACGGATTTTGAATACTTTCTACCGAAAACGAGGAAATCGCAAGTGGACATGGAGGAACGCTAATGGCGAAAATAAGAACGAAATAGACTTTATAATAAGTGCACACCCAGTCATCGTGCAGGATGTGCAAGTGGTTGGCAAGGTACGATGCAGTGACCATAGAATGGTACAGTCTCGAATTCGCCTAGACTTGAAGAAGGAACGACAGAAACTGATACGCAAGAAGCCAATCAATGAGCTAGCACTGAGAGGGAAAGTACAGGAATTCAGAGTGCCGCTTCAGAACAGGTACTCGGCTCTTAGTGAGGAAACCAACCTTAGCGTGGCAATGAATGATAATCTGATGAGTATCATTACGGAGTGTGCAGTGGAAGTTGGAGGCAGGGTAGTTAGACAGGACACAGGCAAGCTTTCCCAGGAGACGAAGAACCTAATTAAGAAGCGTCAAAGCATGAAAGTGTCAAGTACAACAGACAAAACAGAACTGGCAGAGCTTTCGAAGTTGATTAATAGGCGTAAAGTATGCGATGTAAGAAGGTATAACATAGAGAGAATTGAACACGCTCTGAAAAACGGAGGAAGCGTCAAAGCAGTGAAGAGGAAACTTAGGAGAGGCAAAAGCCGGATGTATGCACTAAGGGACAAAGAAGGCAAAATAACTACCAATATGGATAGGATAGTTAAAATAGCCGAGGAGTTTTACAGAGATCTGTACGTAGCCAGGACAACCACGACCTTACTACGTGAGACTAGCACTAACCCAGATGACACCCCACAGTAATAATAGAAGTAGTCCAAAAAGCTTTGGAGAGCATTCAAGAGCAGCTGCTGTTGATGTCAGTAACATCAGATCTGCTTAAGTGGAGGACAGTCGTGTTAGAAAAACTACCACTTCTTTTTAACAGGTGGCCTCGATCCTGTCGCGTACGTCGTCAAACACTTCCGTGCCGCAACACTTCTCGCCAGACAGTGGTACATACCTACGGGCGGGTATGTGCCGCTGGTAAGCGGGTATGTGCCACAGATAATTGACACTTAGCATCTACCAAGGAACGGCGAGAACACACAATGGCAATTTTAACACACGAGCGTTATGAAGTACCCGACATACGTAGCGTCGACCCGACAAATGCAAATAATAAGTGTCAGGGTCCCAGCTGGAATCAAACCCAAGCATTCTGCGTGGCAATAAAGCATTTTACCGCAGAGCTACGCCACGTTTCGGAACTACTTTTTAAATAGACGCTCATCTTCATGAAACGTCAACAGTGGTAGCAGTGCTGCCTACACAATTTTATAAACTTTACATATGTACTCCTTTGATACAGCCGTCACGTCGGGTTAACGTGAATTGTGGTTAGGTGTCATGCGCTGAATTTGATTTATGTATAGCAGCGTCCAGGACCATGACCTTCGCGAGCATCAGCGCTTCATATCAGCTTCTGGTGTTGGTAATACGCATGTTCCAGTTGGCATTGTTGCGCAAGTGCAAACAACTGGTTATATAAACATTTGCGACTCTTAAACATAGCCCCACAGTGGTCGTTCTTCGAGTGGCTAAGGTACTCGGCTGCTGACACGCAGGTCGCGAGATCGAATCCCGCGGCTGCGGCGGCTGCATTTCCGATGGATGCGGAAATGTTGTAGACCGGTGTGCTCAGATTTGGGTGCACGTTAAAGAACCCCATGCAGATGTTCGAAATTTCCAAAGCCCTCCACTACCCCACAAATCAATCACAAATCAACTCTTCAACATATGTCTCTGCGTGCAACATGTGTACACATATTTAGCGTCATTTCATGACGTGTAGCTCAATTTAAAAAATTCAACATGGTCGCCGTCCCTCCGCGTGCTTCGCATAACGTCGATTCCCAGGTACGTGGGATCTGCTGATTTTTTTTCCCCTAACTTCTTTCTGTCTCGCTCAATTTTGACATAGTTGGCTCCAAAGTGTCCGCAACGTCAGAGTTTGGTTGATTTTGAGGGGTAGCATTCCTATACTTAGACGTTTCCTGTCAAGTGACGAGTTTCGCGCTCCTGTTTTGCGAACTAATGGCTACTTCTGTGTGATTGTTGCATTGAGCGTATACACCGCGGGTGGTTTCAAGTGCACTAAAAGTACCGCAAAAAGTTTCTAACTGCTAAGGAAATGACTGGCGCTGCCTGTGAGGCCGTATCGTATTTGGTTGACGTTTTGGAGTATAGTAATTAAAGCGCTGGTAAACAGTTTACTAGACAGTGGTAATCTGACGAGAGTCAGATATGCGTACTAGTAATTACATCTACGGATATATAGCCTAATGACATAGAATAGTGAATGAAAAGGTAAGGACAAAATTATTTCTAGTTCTAGAAAGCGGCGAAGGGCAAGAAACTTCGTACCGTAAGTTATGACGAGCTGTCCCGTTGACTTATCGTTATGTTGTTCCGAGAGTCGTTTGCTAGATGACATACGAAGGCGGGAGTCGAGTGTCTATCAAGTCAAGGTGACGCTATGCGGAGAGTGGTACAAACTGCGTAACTATATAGGCATGTTCAGCTATGTTTTGAAGCAAAACGAAACTGGCTAAAATTTCTAATGAGAAAGTTGTAGATCGATTTGCAAAATTTTGCGAAGTTAATCTGGTAAAGAATAAGTTATTGATGAATCACAAAGGTTACACATAAGTCAATAGCCGTACCTTAAAATGTTTCCGGCATCGAGACTACGCATTCGGTCCGAAATTAAATGCGAATGCGTTTCATGAACTTGTTTGACATTAAATGTCATTTTCATTTAATGGCGTTCGTTCCCCCATGTGAGGGCGAATAAATGACAGTACAAATGAATGACATTTACTCTAAAAGACAGATTTGTTGCGTGATAATGGCATAAAACGTTTAACTAAATTAAGCACGATAATGCTGTGGGAAGACAGAACTTATGACAACTACACTAAAAGTAGAAATCCACAGCCAACCATGCTCAAGCCACGAGATACTAACCACACGACGTTACGCCAACTAGCATTATGCAAGAAAGTCAGACACAGATGAACACGTACGCAAAGGACCAGCACTGTGTGCGAGTTTTTGTTTTTGTATCTTCGTTTTTTTTTGCGAAGTTTAACTTCGCAGCTATCACACAAACTTGACCAAACCAAAGCACTCCTAAACCAAGCTTGTAATATTCAAGCTGCAGAAAGATTAAAATTCCACTAACGACATGATGCCGTTTGCACCGTATACAATACAATATGGTACAAGTAACAACAACAAATAGAAAGAAATAAATAAAAAAGGGACAGGCATGCATTCATACATAAAATTCGAGAGCTAGACATTCAAGCAGTTGTTTAAAAGTAAAAAAAAAGGGGGGGGGGGGAGAGAGAGAGAAAGAGACTGCACGCAAAACCAGGCAGTAAAAAAAAATCCTAAAGGGGCCATGACACCCAACTTTTTTTATGCATAGTCTGAATGATTGTGATTAATCCTTGCGTGTTCGCAAATAAGCTGGAGATATTTCAGCGCAGTTGATCAAGCACTTCATTTATAATTGAATATCTTCAGTACGTGTGAGCAGCCCGAAAGTCGGCTGAGACTGGCGCTGTCGTGAGCCATGATGCAACAAGCTCCTCGCTGTGAGAGCACCTGCATTCGGGCGAACAATACTGTTCCACGGTCAGCTGCGTGTGTATTAATATTTCAGCTTTCTTCAAGTTTGCCACTGACATTGAACGATTTGAAGCCCTGAAACTGGTGGAAGAGGACGGCTCCACTCAATGCCGCATATGACGTCACACGTCATGGCGAAATGGCATTTCGCCGGTGGGGCGCGAGGTTTATAGTCGCAGACTTCTAGAGCTTCGTTTGCATTAAAATATCTTTTTTTTGCTGACCATGCACTGTTCATACATGTATAGTCATAGTAGACCCTCTATTTCATTTTTTTTTTTGTTGCTGAAAACTACAAATCGTTAGAGGATCATGTCACGGCCCCTTTAAAAGGACGAGCATAGCACAATGACGCCACACACATCAAACAGGAGAAGCAGAAAAGCACACAAAGCAACACTACTAAGTGAAACGGTTGGCCAACACTTATTGCAAAATTTACGGATCTTATTACATTACCGCTCTTTCCTTCCACTCTATCATAATTGCGGCCCTCGCGGTCAGCGTTACATTGGTATACTTCCCGAGTGCAAGTCAGGTTCGTGCATCGTATGCCCTTTCAGCTTGTAACACTTCACGAATATATACAAGGATAAGAGCCAGCAGCTGAGTGCCTATTTTTTTCCTTGCCAGCAGTTTCACAACAATGTCAAGAACAACTCCCTTGCGCAAGCAAAGATTCAGCTGCATGGACTATCGAACTCGCCCACCGTCGTTCATAAGCGGGTGGTTTACAAAATAACAGTCGTATTGATTAAGCAAGCAAGTGTTAGCGGGGAGCCGAATAACAGACACTTTTTCTAATGTGTTCGCATAGGTTTGGTTCTTCGTTGGTCACTTAATTATTTCTTCCTGGCAGCGAATGTCACGGGCAAAAATGTATAAAAATGTTCGCACACAAAAAACGACCGCATACTATACGACGGCACATGTACTGCACAGTCATAGACACGGATGACTACTCGTGCATAAAACTTCTACATCACAAGCTGATGACGCAGACATTTAATTCGGTAAATCGAAAAAAAAAGAAAGAAAAATAAATGTAAGATTAGTGCGGTTGAAGCCGCCAAGATCAAGGTCCGAAATATGGGTAATTACGCGAACGGTGATGACTGCGAGAACTAGTGGTCGAACAGGCTCTCAGCGCTAGACCTGCCTCTGCGCATGTTGTAGATGCTGGAATCGGGCGTTCTCTTCGCGAAATTCATGGCGCGCTTTCTCGTAGCCGGCGCGCTGAGGCACTCCATTTTGGCGCTCTCGACTTTCGTCGCACGTGGCAGGACTTCGTGCGTAAACATCGACGCGAGGAGAAGTATGGCGGCCGCCGCGTGTCCCAGGTCGCTTCGACTGGCCCTCTGGAACGCCCGCCCAGCGATGGCGGAAAGGCCGCCCAAACGAGCGCAGGCGAAAATGCAGCCTACTGCGGAGCCACGGACAGCCGTAGGGAAGACCTCTTGGATGTAGACGAGGCACAGGATGTAGCCGGTGTAGAACAGAGCAGTGGTCACCATGACCAGAACCGGACACACCGCTACACCCCCGGTGCCGAAGGCGAGGCTCAATAGGCACTGGAGCACACCGAGGGTCATAAACCATATGTTCAACACGGTAACCATGCTGAACCTCGTTATTAGCCGATCCATCACCACGTAACATACGATATTCATTGGGAAAGAGAAGTGGTCGAACCAGGACTTTTTTCTTCGCACTATTGAGAACGCGCTGACGAAAGCTGCAAAGGTGATGGAGAAATACGAAAGGCTCAATATCAGAGCCCGCCGCCGCATGGAGTAGCCATTGAACATTTCTTGGTCAATTGAAGGAAGGCGCATCTCATTCCTGAACAACTCCGCCTTGAGCTTGTCGATTGTCGACGTTGTGCAGTGCATGGGAAAGTGGTTGACCGCCGCGGCATTCATTATAGTGGCCTCGGCGTCCCTCAAGCGACCCCTCGCGATCAACCAGCGCGCCGACTCGCTGGCTACGCAGGAGGCCGGTACCATAAGCACCGTGGGGAACATGAAGGTGGCGTGCCTCAACATCCAACCAACCCTGACCATTGCCACAGTGGCGTCCCACGTGTCGGAAAATAGAACTCCCAGCATTCCAGCGAATATGATTTGCAGGGGCCGGTTGCTGTGTGTGGTCACCTCGAAGAGGGACGTTATGGCAGTAATCATGACTGCGGAGACGCCACCAGAACTAAAGAACTTCGCGGCCACAAACGTGTGGAAGCTTCTGGAAATGCATCCAATCACTGTGGAGATGACGAGCACCGCCACGCCCACCAGCAGCACGGGCATTCGACCTACGATGTCGGCGAGCGATCCGGCCACCGCTGAGAACAAGCAGGAGCCGAAGCAGTTGACGGCGACCATGACGGCGATAAGCGCGTCTCTCTGACAGACCAGGTTCCATTCACAGATGGCGCTCATCCGTGCCGGCTCGGCATCGTCCCCGTACTCCCACTCTTCGCAAGGTATCCTCTCTGGAGTAGTGCCGTTTGGTTCCTCCGGGCGCTTGTAACGCCGGCAGCGACTGGGTGTGCCACCCGGTTCATCGAGAAGGTACAATCCTCTCTATTCGTCCACAGAGATGTTCGAGTGCGGTGGTGGTGCAGGTACCTTGCACCAGTACTCAACGTCTTTCAGAATCAAACGGAATGCAAAGTTGTGAACGTTGAAGAGAAAGAGAGCGATGGTGCAGAGCAGCAGCAGGCGCCTTTGAAAGGGTCCGTGACCGAATGCGTCGTAGCAGTCGAAGGACTCGCTTGTCCCTAGGTCTTTGAACAGCAGCCGTTGAGGAGCCAGGATGTCCATGTTTAATATTACGACGCCATACGTGACGAAACGCTAGCTAGTTCGTCTCACCTGAGCGGCCTCATATCGCTGGGGACGTAGCGAATACTATCAAATATGGCTGCTTTTTGGGCACGCGCAGAAAGAAGTAGAAGAACCTGGAATTTGTGGTACACACCCATGATGGGGGATTGGCCAAGAACAGAGCGATTTAACGAAATACTTTAATATTTTGTTTTAGATTACGCCTTTTAAAATTATGACAGGAATCGAAAGAAAGAGACAGGAATCAAGAGAATCAAGAGGAAATTTTAAAATTATGACAGGAATCAAGAGAAAAAAATTAAATATTAGAAATTGACAAATGGAAATTACGGATATATAAAATGAAGCAAATAATTTTAACAACAATAAATAAATAAATTTTGAAACAAGTAATTTAGGCGCGGGAATTTGCTTGCTTCTTTTTTTAATTTTTCCTTTTTACCGTGGCATAGCCACTGACCTTGAAGCCGGTGGTTAATGCAAATGTAAGTGTAAAACATTTGACAGACACTTGAGCTTTGCCTTCAAGAGTATATAGACGAAATAGCGTAATTGGGCCTCGTACGCACCGCCCTCTCAATTGGTATAGCTTGGCTGCTGTTCTCGGTAGGGCACATCAAGTAAACAAAAGGCTGTGCAAGTAACATTGGCGTTTTGCAAGTATCCTAGGGTTAATACTACACGTACAGTTGCTAGCTGCTCACTACACCGTAATTGTTCCTTTTGCGAATCAAGAAAAGGCCACAGCCTTGCCTGCCGGATTATCGGCGGTCACTTGGAAAGCGGCCGTCGTCGGAATTACAGTGGTGGCGCCACCTAAGTAGGTGTGTTTTCAAATAAGTTTTTACGTTTTTGGAGCTCATATGCAACAAAAGTAACGTGAAAAAGTTTTAAAAAGGCGTAAACGTAATTATAGTTAACCCTACGTAAGTGACGCCGTCATTCAGCAGGCAACTTCTTCAAAACAAGGCATAGCCTCTAAAATTGGTAGCAAATGCCAAAATTGCCCATCTCAAAGGCCAAGTACAAAGACCTTTATTCCTACGTAGGTAGCGCCTTCATAGATGACGGGCGTCTCGCGCTCATCCGGCAGGCACGAGAAATCTAGGAGGCCATGGAAAAGGCCCACGATGTGCACGCGCAATTACGCAGCTGTGCACTTTATTGTTGATGCTTTTGCTGCTGATGGTGAATTAATATGCCTTAACGCATTGTAATTGTGGACCTTTAAAACACCTACTCGTTGCGCATTTCCCATGTTTAGACGCCTCGCACGATTCTATGCTTCTGCCACGCAATATTTACCAGCATGAAATTCATACAGTTTCTTTTTGTTTTTGTTGTTCTGTGGTTGAGCACCTGTTTGCCACTCAGGTGGCCTGGGTTCGATTTTCACTTGGACCCAAAGTTCTTTACTATTTACTTTATTTCTATCTTTCTATAGAATTAATGGTCACCGACAAGACGATTTTCGCTCACAGCCACGACGATGTCCCTGATGCAGACAGCGGAATACGTCTACGAAACGAGCTCTTTAACACCGTCACGTTAAAACTAGTAGTGTTCTGAGGATGCTTTTAGGGGTGGTTTTGTAGACGACGAAGGGAAGAATGACATCCCAATTCGTGTGAGTGGCGGCGTACATGGAAAGCATTCGTGTGTGGGTGGTATGCTGCAGTAGTGCGGTGAACAATGGCTCCGACGACTTGCGGCACGAAGACATGGCCTTGATCCCAGCTTCTGGGGTAGAGCGTGACGCAGCGAAAATCGTTGAAACGGAAAAGAGGCAGCATTCTGTGCTGCAGCGAAAAGTGGCAATTTCGGCATATCGTGCGAGGTGGTCTATGGCGAGGATGGCCCAGTGGTTACCAGCCGACACCATAGGGAGTGGCTCGTATAAATTGACGCCAACGCGCCCAAACGGCCGGTCAGGGCAAGGTAAAGCTTTTGCATATACCTGCTGGCAACAGGTGCGTCTAAATTTTGTTGCGGCGCTGACAATCGATGCAGGAGCCAACGAACTTCTGCACGCAGCGGCACATCACTCGCTACAGTGCGTTGGTGAATGTGGTGGTCAGTTTTCGATATTACCGAATGTGATCGCACTCCGGATCGGAGTGGAACGACTCACCTATGACAGAACGCAGACTGCGGGGTATTGATATTAGCCACTGGATGCAGTCGGCGTTGTAATTGCGTCCGTCGAAAAAATCATCGTTAATGGCAAATTTCTGAGCTTGACGGCACAACATGCGAATGGATTGTGTAGCCGATGAATCGGTCAGCAAGTCCATCAGCGAGGTGACTCATCCCGCGAAACAAAACCTCTTAAAGACATCTCGAAATGGTTGCAAATGACCATGGACATCTTGGTTTGCGAGATGACCGAGTATAAACATTTTTTTTTGTAAATATACAATGTACACCTCAAATCTCTTTGCATACTGTTCATTAAACTTTAAGCAGTTACAGCATAGCCAGAGCCCATTCTGCCAAACAAGCTCATAACTTCTACTAACTTCATAACGAAAGCCCGGAATCGAATGGAAAGACGTTCTATTGGAGACTAGTGGCTCACAAAATGGGTTTGCCATCAGGAGGAAGTAAGATAATCCTGTTAGGCAACAATGTATATTGAAACATAAATTCAGACGCTATTTAATTAGTAAATCAGTAATTAAGAAATTCATGCGCGTCAGCATTGATTAACTGATCAGTGTCACAGTGAGTGGCAACATAAAATTAAAAAGAATACATTAACAATAACAAATTAGTCATCGTTACTGGAGAGCGCGCACTGACTGCAGAGACAGAGAGAACACAAAGAGAGAACACGACACAATCGCTTACTTTCAACTAAAGTCTAATGAAGGAATGCGGAAGAATATCACATAGAGAGTACCATGCATGCATGTGTCACTGCGCAGAAAACATAACGTTATAAGCCACGCATTAATTCAAAGCTTGACATCACGCCGAGGTGATAAAACAAATCGGTCGAAACTTGCAAGGAGTGTGGCCCGGAAAAGATATTTCTTTATTTGTTAGCGCCAGTGACGTCTGGCTCACGCATTTGTGACCTTTTTCTATGACTGAGACAAGGAAGTTTATTGCAAACTGGTAACAACATTTCGGATAGTTTCTCTTTTCCCGCAGTTGGGGCAGTGGTCATTGGGAACGACGCCCCACTTTGACAGTCTCTGACGAGTGGGCAACGCGCCCCACCGCCGCAGCCAATCAAATTCTCTAACTATTTCCGGTACGTTGTTGTTCCGCCATTTCTTCCACTTGCTGGGCCTCCATCTCTGTTTTTCTTCGTCAGTAATCGAGCGACTGATTAACATTTCGCTAATGCGTGCGGGTGCGAGCTTTGCAAAGTATTCTTCGGCGGCTTCGCCGTCAACCGAACACTTGAGGCCCTCTGCTGCCTTATAAAAGGCATGTGGGTGTTCTGCTTGAGGTCCCCGGTACCTTTCCGACGTGAATGTGGCTCCGGTCCAATAGCAATAAGCTACGGCCAGGATAGTCATTGTCCTGAAACAATTTGTGAACTGTTTTAACTGCAAGTGCATTTGTAAGATTCAGCAGAAATGTCTTATCACCTCACAACTTTGTAAGGTTTTGAAGTAATGCGTCACTTACAATGTTATGTTTACCGTGCAGTTATGAATGCACCGTACTCTCTATGTGATGTTCTTTTCTTCTCCTTCATTAAACTTTGGTTGAAAGTGGGTGCTTGTATCGTGTTCTTCTGTCTTTGTCACCGCAGCCAGCGCGTGCTCTCCAGTGCCGATGAATGCGTATTAACTCGCCCAGCTTTCTGCTTTGTTCAGTTATAGTCGGCCATGCCTATATTTGAGTCGGAGTAATGTGCAGCTATCTCACCACTACGCGGAGTCTATACGCAGCGAAAGCACACGTTTTGTGGAATATATATCAATTTTAATATATTGTGTGCTTAATAGATAACTAAATTGCTAGCATCACTTTGTAAGTATCGCGAACTATCGGCCTCTTGTTGGAAATTGTCCCGCCGCGGTGGTCTAGTGGATAAGGTACTCGGCTACTGACCCGCAGGCCGCGGGATCGAATCCCGGCTGAGGCGGCTGCATTTCCGATGGAAGCGGAAATGTTGTAGGCCCGTGTGCTCAGATTTGGACGCGCGTTAAGGAACTCCAGGTGGTCGAAATTTTCGGAGCCCTCCACTACGGCGTCTTTCATAATCATATGGTGGTTTTGGGAAGTTAAACCACTCATATCAATCAATCAATCAGTCAATCAATCAACCAATCTTGTTGGAAATTGCAGACTCACGAATGTAGAACCTAATATATACGAGTCTCACTCGCTTAGCCAGAGGGCGTGTTCAGCACCCCCGCCACGAAAATTTAAAGTAGTATGTTCATAGATTCATGCACACATACAAATAACACACGCACGTTTATGTATAAACAGGTCGGACGCCCTCCCGATTTTTTTAGGTTTACGTTATTTATTTCTTTAAAGTGTGTATGCTGCGCATGCCTCGTTTTTATCGCCTGAGTGTGTGCAACATTTTTTTTTCTTGGTTGAGAATACATGGACTGTTAACCTCATTTCGTCACGTGTCGAGACTATTCTATCGCTAAGAGTGCAAAATATACTATTAGATAAGTTTTCAGTGACTATTATTTCACTTCTCTCTCACTCGGGTGGTCGTGGGTACATTTATATGAAATGTTTTTTTTTTCTGAAATAAATTTAGTTGCGAGTGTAGTGAGTGTAGTGTTTTTCTCAATTGTCCCTGTTATTCCCGTGAAAAAAGTGCGTACTTCACCGTAAAATATAATGATCAGTCACGAACTAGCCCAGCTCTCAACCATATTGCACTCACTTCAATCAAGGACTTCTTTAAGTCATAAACTGAATAATGGATTCTTTTGAGGTAGAGCTGTGCAAGGCGCTTTGTTATATTATTTAGCAGGGCTTTCTGTCGAGTGATTTTACGAGCGTGTTTGCTTTATCCGGTGGCTTTCTTTTTCCCGGTTCCGCGAGAAATATAATTGAGTTGTTATGCTTACGTCTGATTGCATAGTCGTACTCGTTATGTGGTCTAGTCTATAGGACCCAAATAGTGTGTACCTTCTCTCTCTCTCTCTCTTTATATATATATATATATATATATATATATATATATATATATATATATATATATATATATATATATATATATATATATATATATATATATATATATATATATATATATATATAATATATATACATAACATGTTAAAGGCACAAAGCCGACGTCATTATGGGAAAGACGCACTGACATGTAACGGGGTGCTGTGCGGGTCTGCGGATTTCTGGCGCCATAAAAACAGATAATAAGTGGATTCGTTTTTCGTGAAAGGTGCCCATTGCACTGCATGGTTCGTGTCGGAGATGACTGTCGTGTGATCGATGTTGCAGACCTCCATTATAGTGCGCTTCTCTGGTAGCATCAGGCGGAATGTGAAATTAGGCCATTCTGTGATCGGCCGGAGGCAAGCGTCGGTGCTCGCCTCTGGGGTGTACATGATTGTCGACAGCTAGCTCGCGTTCCCATTGTGTGCACAGAGGCGATGACGCTCCGTCTCACCGCTGCGCATAGTTCGCCCGAAGGGCCAATAAAAAGATAGAAAACAAATGGGAATTAAATGTAGGCAACGGGAAGAGGGGACACCGGTCAGCGCGTGCGCGTTTCCAGCGGGGCCCTGTGTACTCAGCGGCCAGGTGAATCGGCTCGAGCGAGGGACAAACACCGGCGAAAGCGAGCCGCGAAACGCGCGCGCAGATAGTGGTCCCCTCCGCGCTGCCGCGTCACGGTGACCTGTCGCCGGCAGTGGGCTCACGGACTTCGCCGAAGACACACACTCGCCGATAAGGACCACCATGAGAGCATCGTTGCTGACTTGCGCGGCCCTCATAGGTATGCATACCTCCCGCACGAAGTCAGCGGGCCCTTGAAATACTTGTTGTTAAACGAGAACTCAAGGCGAACAATTCTGAATGCTAGAATGAGAAGATAATGATCTTCGGCAAGCTTGTTTTTTTTTTCTATTTCAGGGCCAAACGCACGAATCGAAAGGCCGAGAAACAATTAAAAGACACTGACGGACACTGTTTCTTACTGTTCCTTGGTCTTCCGTCCTCGAATGTTTTGCGCTAGAAAAACTTGCTCAAGATCATGAACCAAATAACTGACACTATACAGTCCTGAACGGTTGGTGCTTGAGAACGCCCAAGAGGTAATCGTGTGCAGATGCGCTTTAGTAATCGAGAAATTAAGAAAAATGTATAACATGATGTGCGCCACCGGTGTGACAGCCACGTATACCGTCTTAATAAACAAGCACTACTCGAGCATGTAGCCTGACACATGCCTGGGGACAACAAGTTTATATGAACGCCAGGGCATGAACTTATATATACGATTCCTAACTTAAGTTCGGTAATACACGGGACTGTATTCCTTCCCATTATTATCAATTAGCAGAGGGGTTGGCCAACAAACTTACCAAAAGGTCATGACTAGTTTATACTGTACTAAATACGCATGTGGTGGATAGTTGTGCATTCTTAATATTATTTTGAGCCGGACATCTTCTGGAAGGTGCCCTTGGGCTGTTCGCGCACAATAGTATCGCACCGCGATATGTTGCTGCCTCTATGACCACATGTGCTTATGTTTTTATCTTCCTGCTGACAAATCCTTTTGAACCGGTTTTCACACGATTAGTTTCACCAGCAGAAACAGCGACAAGTCTTGCGTGTAAAATAATAGAGTCAAGAACAATATATCCCGGCTTATTTCTAAATGTGCCAGTTGGCCTATATTTCGTTTTTCTTTTTAGTGGAAGCCAACTCACCCGATAATTGTTCAATTAAATTGCCACTGCTATCACTTTGGATTATGTTGACTTCCATTAAAAAATGGAATACGAAATGGGTATATGCATGCAAACTGGGAATTAAGTTTCAATGTGAATTCGGGCCCGTTATTTTGTCGGTATAGTTGATTGATATGTGGGGATTAACATTCCCAAACCACCGTATATGATTATGAAAGACGCCGGAGTGAACAGATCTGGTAATTTCTACCACCTCAGGTACGTTCTTTAACGTGCACTCAAATCAGCATACACAGGGCTACAGCACTTTCGCCTTCATTGAAAATGCAGCAACCGCAGCCGGGATTCGATCCCGCGACCGGTGGGTCAGCAGCCGAGCAGCTTAGACCACCACGGCAGGGCTTTTTGGTGTAGTTAGCATTCCCCTTTCGCCTCTCTTTGTCTACGTATGTGTGCTCCTGAGGAATCGCTTGTGAAGATGGAGAACCATTTTAAACCTATAATCCAATACTTCCGAAGATGCGCGCATACGGGTAATAGTAAAAGACCGTAGCAAGGTGCAGGAAAGCTTTGTTTAAATATATGGTTTCCTTATGTGTACGCAGTCTGCTGCTGCTGGCCGGCTGGTGCCCAGGACGATACAACGGACGCACCGAAAGTTGCCACTGACGAACCTCCACCTGCCACGACTCCACCTCCGCCACCGCCGCCACCGGGCATCAACCCGAACCACTCATATTATCCGCCTAGCTATAAACCTCACTCGGGGGGCTATAACCCCAATGGGCACTGGAACCGCTACCCAAGCCAGGGCAACTATCCTCACTCCTGGTCGTATCGTCCTCCAGCCTATCACCCGCCCCCTACCACGTATGAGTGGTGGAGGCAGTTCAGCAGAAGGCCTTCGTTCGAGCATGGTGGCACGAACGGTGGTACTGGAGGCTACGGCTATGGCTACTGGCCCTCAGCTGGCTCCGGCTACATGCAACCGTACTACGGCAGCAGCTGGTGGCAGCCTTACTACGTGGCCGTTGGTTACTATAGGCGAAGTAGCTACCCACCTCAAACAAGTACTAGCTACCCCAGCTATGGCGGACACTATGGAGGACACTACGGCGGTCATGGCTATAGCGCTGGTTACCCCTCCGTTAGCGGCTATGACAAGTTTGGCTACCCATACTACAGGAGTGGCTATTACGGAGGTGGATTGTACGGCGGGCACAGCGGTTACGGAGGAGGCTACCCTCGCTCTTATGGCTGCTATACAAGCGGTTGTGGAACCTATGCATCGTCTTATCCGTACCAGGGAAGTTATCCGAACATTGGTGGTTACCCTTCCACAGGGGGTAGCTATGGCCGTTACCCATACTATAACAGCTACGGAACCTATCCTTACAACGGTGGGGGCTATGGGGGGTCAACCGTACTATGGAGGTGGACATTATAACTACGGCTTTGGTTATGGCTCATACTACCCAAGTGGTGGTGGCCAAACAGTTCACCCCTCCTACCCTTCTGGCTACTACAGCCCCCAAAGCTACGGATACGGCTACGGCTATGGGTATCCATATTATAATCAAGGTAGCGGCTACAGCAACGGTTACGGAGGATATTCTACTGGAAAATACTCCGGTGGTGGCTCGTACCCGTACGATTATTACGGTGCTTATAACCGCTACTACCCGGACTATCATCGCCATTATAACTATCCAGGAATGACTCGCGGCTGGTATGATTGTACTTACTATCCAACAGCGGTCAATAAGGGTACGCTGTCTCAGGATCCGAAAGCGTAAGACAAAAAGTTGACCTTACCAAACAGAATACGGAAAAAATAAAGAGGACACTTACGCGACGATCTGTCCGTGAGTTGCTGAAAAGCTCCGAATACACAGGCCCAGAGACCAGAAGGGCCAACAGCCGTGGCCCGATGCTAGACCTTTCGAATGATGGTCTTGTGAGTGGTATCTCACTTCTATCTCAAGACGCTGCAGCAAAAAAGGACACTGCCACCAGCCTGTTTAAACCAACGGAGAATGCGAGGTCATTTGCCAAGGGAGGGGAACCAAACGAGAGCGACCAATACATCACGCCGGAAATGGTAGAACGCTTTGGGAGGAGGCTGACGGCCATGGATCGCGTGTTCGAGGAGTTGCTGAAGCTAAAGGACATGCGGGGCGATGGCGACTACTTCATGAGACGTGTGCGGATGTACCGCAGACTTCTCAACCAGGTGCAGAGTGGCACGGGAATCGGTGCGTCGCCAAATGGTTTCGATTCGCAAGACGTGTTGCGACGGTTAAAGACGCTCGAGAACGAGCTGGACGATCACCGCAGGAGGGCCCTGCGAACTCTTTACCACGCCTTGATTGATGCGGACCTGACGGTGTCGGACAAGCTGAAAGTGCTCGCAACTGTGTACAATTTCGCCAAAGGAGACATGAGTGACGAAAGCGACGAGGGAGTCGAAACTATAGAAAGAAGCGTGATTTCATCAGAGGCTGATCCTGTTAAGACCTCTGAGAATGGCAGCTCGGCCAGAGATGCGGAATCGAAGAAGTTTTACGATAACCTCGAGAAGCTTTTGGATTTCACACGGACGGTGGAGCCATCAACGTTCGACGAAGAAAGCGAAAGAAAGTCGGGCACTAGGTCTGGGTCTCCGAAGTCCTTGTCAAACAGTCTGGAATCTTCAAGCTCAGAGTCATCGAGTTCAGAGTCTGACAGCTCTGGTGACCGGACAAAGTTTGAAATCAAAGGCTCAGTCAGGTTAGCGCTTGATGTGGAAGGAAAGACTGGCTTTGGCACCGACAGCATTGGTAACCTCATGAAGGCAGTTCTGTCCTAAAAGCTCAATTTCCATGCGTATGCGCTACCTTTTTCAAATAAAGCTCATTCGCTTACCGCATTGTCATTTCTTTCTATGCGATGTACAGCCAAGCTGTCGGGGCTTAAGAAAAAAATAAACAAACAATGCTTAGCACAAAATTCGCTGTCTGTAGAAACGTGTCAAGAATGATGACAATAATATCTGCAGTTCTTAGACTTATTAAAAATGGTACTCATTCCTGAAATAGACAAGAATCGGGTTGGAATATGTGTGCATTTAAAAATTGAAAGTATCACATAATTCACTTGACACCCAAAACTTTGGCAAATGAAGATAGAGATAATTGAATTTTATTTTACGACTAGGCACGTGTGCTCTTGTCCCAGAGGTAGGAGACTTCCTTATTCCAGGCATCCATTAAAAAAATTCGGCAGATCCCACATACCTTGGGAATCGATGTTATGCGAAGCGTGTGGAGGGAAGGCGACTGTGTTTTAATTTTTTTAATTGAACGAAACGTTACGAAGCGGCGTAAAAGTATGTACAAATGCGCTCCTTGACACACGTTAAACAGCCGCATTTGTTTTATATAACCAGTTGTTCACAGTTGCGAAACGATTGCAACAGCAACATTAATATTAACACCATCAGAAGCGGTATAAGCCGACATGAAGCGCTGGTGCTCGCGAGGATCGTAGTACTGGACACTGATACAAGAATCAACTTCAGAAGATAGCGCCTAACTACAAATGACGTTAACCCGACGTAACTGCTGTATCATAGGAGCACATATGTAACGTCTATAAAGTTGTGTAGCCAGCACTATAACCACAATTGCTGGTTAACGAACATTATAGGTCTATTTGAAAAGTATATAGTTCCAAAACATGGCGTGACTCTGTGGTAGAATACTTGATTGCCACGCAAAATGATGATGTTTGATTCCTGCTGGGACCCTGACGTTTATTTTTTGCGTTCGTCGGGTCAACGCTGATGATTCTAGCTTTTTATTAACGCTCGCGCTTTTAAATTACCCTTGTCTGCTCGCTATTCCTGGGTAGATTTGGACTGTCGATCAGCTGTGGCACATACCACACAAACGCGCCGGCGGGTAAGTGCGAAAAGGGTTTGATGACGCACGTGACGGAATTGCGACATTATTCATGTCATGACCAGCAAGTCATATGTGTCAAACCATCTTTTGCATGCTAATTTTAGTTTGCATCATGTTAAAGGTGTGATCACGAGAGCACCAAGACGTAGGCGGTTAGATAGATAGATAGATAGATAGATAGATAGATAGATAGATAGATAGATAGATAGATAGATAGATAGATAGATAGATAGATAGATAGATAGATAGATAGATAGATAGATAGATAGATAGATAGCTAGATAGACGTATAGACGGATCGCTCAATGCGCCTTCATTGCACAAAAAAATGTTTCGCATTACAAAAACATCGCAGTAAATTAGAACGCTAGAGAACTGCGTATGCGGGTTGTGGAGCTACTCATATGAAGTTATAGGACAAACCAATTTTACGTATAAACGTAATTTCGAATATTAGGCCCACGTATTATGTTTGATCGTTCGGTATACCGAACGATCAAACAACGTGGTCTGACAACATGGTCTGATAGCGTGGTCTGACAACGTGGTCTGACAATTCTAACAACGTGGTCTATAGACCACGTGGGCCTGCGCAGGATACAAATATTACCCAGTGTATTTTCTATATAGTGACAGAAAGTTCTCAAGGCGGTACATTGTAAATTCGCGCGTCTGCTGCATTCATGACATAGAATTTCATCACTTCTTTGTCACGAGTAATTCCGGTCTGATGGAACAGTGAGGCCGATTTTTCTGCGCGCACGGCGCGGTCAGTTTAGTTATGGTTGTTAAAATTCCATGAATAATATCAAATCAGGTGCCAGTCTCGTAATTTCTAGAAAACCATTATCCCGTAAGTTGCCACGCTTCCTTATGTAAGCAAATACCTTAAAGTGAATATTCAACAAGTTAATTAACGAGCTTTTGTTAAACAGTCACATCATCGTCCTTTTATCTGCGGCAAACTCCGTCCGCCTCGACATCGAAAGATCGTGAGTGAAAACAATGGAGACCTTCAGAAACAAACAACCAATAAAAACAAATCAAATTTGCGAACAAGGTGGGGCTACGCGTGCGATTTAAAAAAAGAAAGAGAAAAAGGAAAATAGAAAGGAAGAAAAGCCACAACAATACAAAAAATAAACATGAAACAACGGTAAAGGACGCGATTACCCCACTAGAAAGTGGATATACATTCACTTCGGTAGGAAAGGGGAAAGTGGTCATTGGCGCCGTATGTCAAACTGCAGTGCGCCTTTCATTGTTCAGGATGTGATCTAGAAGCGCGTCAAAAGACGTTAAGTGGGTGCTCACCCGTGCGCCTGAGGGGATGGGGTTCGGCATGTCTATTGAAGTCGACTTCTCGCTTCGATGGCTTCGCAGGTGCTGGCGGCAATCTTTACATCATCATCATCATCATTCTGACTACGTCCATTGCATGACAAAGGCCTCTCCCATGTTCCGCCAGTTAACCCGGTCCTGTGCTTGCAGCTGCCAATCTATACACGCAAACTTCTTAATCTCATCTGCCCACCTAACCATCTGTCTCCCCTTAACCTGCTTGCCTTCTCTGGGAATCCAGTTAGTTACTCTTAATGACCAGCGGTTATCCTGACTACGCGCTACATGCCCGGCCCAAGTCCATTTCCTCTTCTTGATTTCAACTATGATGATGTTACGGGGAATGAAGTATTTACAATGGATATACTGGCGAGCAAAATGCGTACAACGCTGCTGCAGTCCGAGCACGTTCCCCAGATCACTTCGTCGTCGTCAACCTCAGGCATCTACTTAGCCCGTGACATTACCCGCCGGCGGCAGAAGCACCATCCCGGTGCGATCAATTCTCGGGGCGTGAGTAGTAAGGTTTAAGCCGTGAGACGTGCACTATATCGGTCGACACTGAAGCTGGTACTGACGTGGTATGGAGTGGAGCCATCTCATAGTTTGTCAAAATGGTTGATTGGGCGAGTTGGTGATACATGACTAATTATGAAATGGAAGCGCACAACGTAGAAGCAGACGGAAAGACAGGGACAAGCGCTAGCGCTTGTCCCTGTCTTTCCGTCTGCTTCTACGTTGTGCGCTTCCATTTCATAATTAGCCATCTCATAGGTCACGCTGGTGACCTTGCGTACGACGCGATATGGGCCAACGTAACGGGACATCAGTTTTTCGCAGAGACCAACACGACGCGATGGTAACCACAGCAAGACGAGCGACCCCGGAGAGTACTGTACGTCGCGGTGCCGGCGATCGTAAGCACTCTTTTGGTTAAGCTGCGAGGTACATAAATGATCCCGGGCGACTTGGCGGGCGATGTCAGCTCGGGCCAGGGCATCACGAGCATAAGCAGTCGATGAGGGGGCGTCAGATTGGAGCATGGTGTCCATGGGCAAAGGCGGGTCATAACCAAACAGTAGGTAAAAAGGTGAAAATCCAGCTGTATCGTGACGTGAACTGTTGTATGCGAAGGTAACGAAAGGTAAGTGTATGTCCCAATCTTTGTGATCCTTGGAGACGTACATCGCTAACATATTCGTCAGAGTACGGTTGAGGCGTTCCGTGAGGCCGTTGGTTTGTGGGTGGTACGCTGTAGTGAACTTGCGGTGGGTAGAGCAGGATCGCAGGAGCTCGTCGACTACTTTAGATAGAAAACAGCGGCCGTGGTCGGTGATCAACTGACGAGGAGCACCATGACGCAGAATGATGTCATGAAGAAGAAAATCAGCTACATCAGTAGCGCAGCTGGTGGGGAGGGCACGTGTAACGGCATACCGCGTTGCGTAGTCGGTAGCAATAGCAATCCACTTATTACCGGTGACCGACACGGGAAAAGGTCCTAGAAGATCGAGGCCGACTCGGAAAAATGGCTCATCTGGTACTTCAATGGGCTGGAGGGTACCAGCAGGTCTCAAAGCAGGTGTCTTGCGGCGCTCGCAGAGGTCGCATGCCGCAACGTACTGTCGCACAGGACGGTAGAGGCCAGGCCAAAAGAATCAGCGGCGAACGCGGTCATACGTGCGTGACACCCCTAGGTGTCCAGCGGAGGGGGCATCATGGAGCTGGGCCAAAACATCTGAGCGAAGATGCGCAGGAACAACGAGTAAAAGCTCAGCACCATCTGGGCGGGTGTTGTAGCGGTGCAAGATGTCGTTGTGAAGAACGAACAGTTGTAAGGAGTGGTCAGGGTGGGGGGAGTGCAGACCATTGATAATAGCACGCAAAGAGGGGTCGCGGCGTTGTTCAGCAGCTATGTCGGTGAAGTCGGTAATTGAAAGAACGAGTACCTCTTGTCCATCTTCCATCATGTCAGGGGGATCGACTGGGTAACGGGACAGCAGTCGGCATCCTTGTGAAGTTGTCCGGATTTATAGGATACGGAAAAAGTGTACTCTTGTAAGCGCAGCGCCCAGCGACCAAGGCGTCCCGTAGGGTCCATGAGTGAGGAGAGCCAGCAAAGCGCATGGTGGTCCGTAATAACTGAGAATGGTCGGCCATAGAGGTACGGTCGGAATTTCGCAATTGCCCAGACGAGAGCTAAGCACTCGCGTTCTGTGATCGAATAAATTTGTTCCGAGCGCGACAACAGTCGGCTTGCGTACGCGACGACGCGGTGCATTTCTTGTTGCCGCTGCGCCAGCACTGCGCCTATGCCGTGGCCACTGGCGTCAGTACGAAGCTCCGTGGCGGCAGATGGGTCGAAGTGTGCTAGGACTGGTGGATTGGTGAGAATCTCAACGAGCGACGAGAAGGCGTTTGCTTGCTGTTGACCCCAGGTGAATGCGACATCGGTTTTGAGGAGGCCGGTTAGAGGACGGGCTACTTCAGCAACCTTCTCGGCAAAACGACAGAAATAGGAGCACAGTCCCAGAAAACTTCGGACGTCCTTGGCTGAGCGGGGTGTGAGGAAGTTGCGAACTGCTCGGACTTTCGCAGGGTCTGGTTGAACGCCCGCA